ACTCCCCCCACCCCCATGATGTCAGGCCCCCCACTCTTTCTTTCACAGCGCCTTCCACAGCTTTGCCCTCACTGGTGTGGTTTGATGAATGATTGTCTCTCACTCCTGAAGATGGTTCCCAGGGCAGAGACCTCATGGGATCTATTGGCCTCAGTAGTGGGTGGCAAATTAGCCTCAGGTGGGAGCATGTGGGTGGCCCAGCTCTCCTTCAGCATTTCTCTTTTCATCTTTTTTTTTTTTTTGAGTTGGAGTCTCACTCTTTCACCCAGACTGGAGTGCAGTGGCCGCTCCTGGCCACTGCAGTCTGGACCTGATGGGCTCCGGCGATCCTTCCGCCTCAGCCTTCCGAGTACCTGGAACTACAGGTGCGCGCTACCACACCCAGCTAATTTTTTTTGATTTATTGTAGAGACGAGTTCTTGCCAAGCTGCCCAGGCGGGTCTCGAACCTGTGGCCTCAGGCAACCCACTTACTTCAGCCTTCCAAAGCGCTGGGATTACAGGCTGAACCACCAAGCCCGGTTTTATCTTTTTTTTTTGAGTTGGAGTCTCACTCTGTGGCCTAGGCTGGAGTGCAGGGATACACTCACGGTCACCGCAGCTTTGAGCTGTTGGGCTTAGGCAATCCTTCCGCCTCAGCCTTCTAAGTAGCTGGAACCACAGGTACACACCACCATGCCTGGCTACTTTTTAAGTTTATTGTAGAGAGGAGGTTCTGTCAAATTGCCCGGGCTGGTCTCAAACCCCTGAGCTCAGGCAATCCTTCTGCCTCTGCGTCCCAAATGTTGGGAACCATCGCTCCCAGCCCTTAGTTTCATTTTTCAGCATATAAATGTGTTCATGTATCTCTTGTCCTCACCGACAAGCCAAATGGTCCTCTGTGTGTATAACCACTACACACCCACCAAGACCATCACACACCCTGCCCACCTGGACTTGGAAATCCCCTAGTAAAGCTCATGGGCTCTGGGTTCTTCCATGCACCCACAGCCTTGAGGCAGTCACATCCAGACTTATACCTGCCTCCTACCTCTGCCCAGGTCCCATGACCAGCTTCCATGCTGGGACATCCTAAGGCAGGTAACCAGCTGGTCTGACTCCAGGACTGGTGCTGGAAGCTGCTTTTCCTGACACCTAGTGAAGTATTACAGATGTTCATCATATCACAGCAATGTGGCTCTCTCCCACCCTACCCGGTGAGGGTGTGGCCATGAGGGTGCCACTGCACTCCAGCCTGGGCGACAGAGTGAGACTCCAACTAAAAAAAAATGCTCTAATCCCTTAATTCCATTTTGAGGAATCTACTATAAAATAATCAGAGATGTGAAATAAGATTTAAGGACAAGATACATTCTTTTAAAGAAAGGTGACTAGGAGGAACTAGATGATCTATTCCACAGTGGGGCTATATTAAAATCATTCTCAATATGGAAAACTGCACATTCATTAACATCGTGTCTTCAGTGTTTAGTCAAAAGGCAGAATTGAAGCCGGGCTCCGTGGCTCAGCCTGTAATCCCTCGCTTGGGGAGGCTGAGGTGAGTGGATTGCCTGAGCCCGCGGGTTTGAGACCCACCTGGGCAACTTGACGAGACCTCATCTCTACAACAAATCAAAAATCAGCCGGGTGTGGTAGCGCGTGCCTGTAGTTACAGCTACTTGGAAAGCTGAGGCGGAAGGATCGCCGGAGCCCAGCAGGTCGAGGCTGTGGTGGCCGGGAGCAGCCACTGCACTCCAGTCTGGGTGACAGAGTGAGACTCCGACTCAAAAAAAAGAGGCAGAATTGAAAACTTTATTTCAATTTTGCCTCAAGGTAAATATACACATAGACAAACCCCAAGGAAATAACTACTCTTTTGTTTAGGTATATGACAAGGGAGTGAGATTTGGGCTGATTTTTTCTTTTTATTCTTGTTTATTCCAAATTTAAAAAAATGAGTTATAATTTTATGATCAGAATAAAATACACTGTTTTAAAAAACAAAGAGTCTATGAATCCAGCCTCATCTTTATATCCAAGATACTCGTCAACATCAGTTCGGTTTAAATTAACTTTGCCATTTTTTTCAAAAAGTATCTAGCCTTTAGTGGGTCAATCAAGTAGTCCCTCCAAAACACCCTAGCTATGAATATTATTGCCTTTTGCTGTCTACAGCTTAATGAAGCAACTTGATATGCTAGTCTCATTTCTGGGATTGCTTATTTTTTTTAACAAATTTTTAAATGTCCACTTTTTGCAAGAGTAGATAAGTACAAATGTGAGTTATTTTATACAAAACTTCTACTGTGAAGAGATTTCTGTTTCAAGTTGAACTCCTTTCTACCTTAATCTAACCCCAGTTGAACCTCACAGCTGTGAACTACACTGATGACCTTGTCCTGCTGGCTCTGGCAGGACCAGGAGCCTCCGGCCTCCAGTCAGGAGCACTTGGCACTGGCAAGAGTAAGGTCAGGTTATTCTCAGTCTAGAAAGCAGCCGCTGCCTTGTTGGGACTGGAATGAAGAGGCCATTACCATGCCACCAAACTTCCCTGGGAAATGTTTCCAGCTCACTGAACTACTGATGGGAGATTCGTCTCGTGATAATGGTGGCTGAGCAGAGACTAAAAACCTTGAAGACAGCAACAGTGCTTTAGCTTAAATAGCTGTAGACAACACATGCTGGACTTTAGAACCTGTGTACATAAAGCTACAATGACTGCCTGCTCCCTCCTCCTGCACCCAGAGGTGGCCTGAGAGCTTGTGGCTCCAGGACTCCCCTTTTCTGTCCCGGAGAGACTAACCCAGAGCATCAGCAGTCGAGGCCTTCGAGCGAATCACTGATGGACGAGGGTGATCGGGCTGGCTGCAGGATGCAGGAAGTACAACCAGACGTGGTTCCAGGTTCTTTTCTTTCCTTTTGTGTGTGTGTGTGTGAGCAAAGTAGAGTTTATTAAGGTGAAAGACACACTTAAAGGGAAAGGGGCATGGGGGATGAAAAGGCATACCCACCCCAAGGTGGGGAGTCTCAGAGTGAAGACTGCCCCCTCAGGGTTTGGGCTGGGCTTTCATCTCCTCTGCCTCAGGGAGGGCTGGGAGGGGCTGAGGCTCTGAGGCCCTGGATTTGTGTTCACTTGAGCATCTGGGCTGCCTGATGAGCTCCTGCTCCATTTACAATTGTCAGGTGATCAATTCCCAGGTTCTGTCAAGTCAGTGAGTCCTGGGGGAGCGGTGGATGAAAAGGCTGAGAACTCCACTTTCCCTAGGGTGTCCCCACAGGGACACTGGAAACACGAGTGTAACAAGGCCCAGGCTGGAGCGCTGGATCAGTGAGGGAATTCAAAAGGAAAATCCTACATCTGAAGACCTTCCACAGACAGGTAAAACCAGGAGAAGAAAAAAGAAGAGGAAAAAAGAAAGTATGTTTTATTTATTTTTTTTTTCGACCTGTGCTTTGCATTCTAGAAAAAGTTGCCTCAACTAGGACACAAGACTTTTATTTTATTTTTTATTTTTTTCTGAGTTGGAGTCTCACTCTGTCGCCCAGGCTGGAGTGCAAGGCACACTCTCGGTCACTGCAGCCTTGGCCCACTGGGTTCAGGCAATCCTTCCAGCTCAGCCTTCCGAGTGGCTGAAACAACAGGCGTGTGCCACCATACCCAGCTACTATTTCTTGGCTTATTGTAGTGACGGGGTCCTGCCAAGTTGCCCAGGCTGGTCTTGAACCCCTGGGCTTAGGTAATCTTCTCGCCTCTGCCTCCCAAAGTGCTGGGATTACAAGTGTGAGCCACCGCAACTGGCATTTTATTTTATTTTCTGAGTTGGAGTATCACTCTGTCACCCAGACTGGAGGGCAGTCTCAGGCTCACGACCACTGCAACTTCCACCTGCCAGACTCAGGCAATCCTTCCACCTCAATCTTCCAAGTCGCTGGAGCTACAGGTGCATGCTACATTACCCAGATCACTTTATGACTTTTTGGACAGATGAAGTCTCTGGTCTTGAACCCCTGGGTTCAGGCAATTCTCTCACCTCCGCTTTCCAAAGTGCTGGAAATACAGGTGTGAGCCACTACTGTCATAGTCAGGTGCCCAGGGACTTTGAGAAAAATGTCTCAGAGTCACCATCAAGGTCCTAGTGCTGCTGTGATGTAAATCTGCTGCCAACTTCCAACTGTGTTAGCCTTTTTGAGCAAGGTGATGGTGAAAATTATGTTCTTTTTTTTTTTTTTTTTGAGTTGGAGTTTCACTCTGTCGCCCAGTCTGGAGTGCAGTGGCACACTCACGGCCACTGCAGTCATGACCTGCTGGGCTCAGGCGATCCTTACACCTCAGCCTTCCAAGTAGCTGGAACCATAGGCACATGACACTCTGCCTGGCTAATTTTTAAAAATTTATTGTAGACATGAGGTCTCACCAAGTTGCCCGGGCTGGTCTCAAATCCTTGGACTCAGGCAATCTTCTCGCCTTGGCCTCCCAAAGTGCTGAGATTACAGGCTTCAGCCACTGCGCCCAGCTGAAAATTATGTTCTTAGAGGGTTCACAGTAGCTACAGGGAGGTCACTGGGCCTTGACTAGGGTGTAGAAAGGGGGTCTGAGCAATCCAATCTGGCGTATGGCAGACTCCAGCAACCCCCTGCATTACCCAACACTATTTAAAATCAGGGAGCTTAACACATACAAACACGTTCTTTCCTATACCACTACCTTCACATTCACATATTTTAAAATAAGGAGATGGAGCCAGAGATGACAATCATATATAAATATAAATAGTTGAATCTCAGCTTTAAGCAGAAAACCTCGCTGAGTCTCCTGCCTACAGATTTCCTCAGGGCAGTTTTCCTTCGTGTGGATTTTGATGCACTGCACAGGGCTCCCCTGGAGAGCAGAGAGCATCCCCCAGGGGCGATGGAAGACATGGGAAGTGGGTGGTCTTAATAATACATGTTCTTGTCCCACCAGCCTGTAGAGGAAGAAAAATGCACATCAGAAACGGAGAGTGTGCTGAAGAGGTAAAAAGCCTCAGGAGTCACGCACTTGCTACTCACTTCCAGGGTAGAGCCTGATGAAGAGCTTCCGCATCTCGTCATACACCCAGATCAGGATGGCGTGCGGCACAGCCACAAACCAGTACTGAGGCCTGGAGGCAGAAGGACAGAGGGTGAGCCCTGGCTTGTCCACAGGGACAGCTCACCCGGCACACAGGCAGGGGGTTCCTGCTCATTCTCCTGCTTTACTGGAGAGAGCCACAAATTATGGGGCCTCACAACATAAAACTGGGAACCTTCAGATTTAACCTGGAGAATGGCTGCCAGAAGCAACCTCTGCCTTTTTAAGCGCCTCCTGGCTAGGGGGAGGTGGGCTGGTGGGGTCTGGAAAATGCTTCTCCTGGGACGCTGGCAGGTAAAGCCTTGTGCTCACACAGCATGGAATCAGTGTGACCTCATTAAAAAATTTTAAATTAAATATATTTATTTGGAAACAGGGTCTCTGTTGTCCAGGCTGGAGTGCAGTGGCATGATCACAACTCACTGCGGCCTCGACCCCCTGGGCTCAGGTGATCCTTCTGTCTCAGCCTCCCCCATAGTGCACCAAGCCTGGCTAATTTTCTAAAATATTTTGTAGATGTGGGGTCTTGCGATGTTGCCCAGGCTGGTCTTGCCTCCTGGGTTCAAGTGATCATCCTGCCTCTGCCTTCCAAATTGCTGGGATTGTGGGATGAGCCACCATGCCCAACAGTGTGATCTCTTTCGAAAGACTTAGAGGGGAACCCCTGGGAATCTTCATGTCGGTCGAGGCTGAGACAGCTTAGGACGTGGGCTAGCGCCTCCTCAGTGCTGGCGAAGGGGAACTCGCCTGAGTGTGGTGAAGCTCAGGGCAGTGACACTTCCGAGGCCATAGCAGAGGATCAGTGCGATAATGATCTGTGAGGCGATCCCCACCCAGATGACTTTATTTCTGCAAGACACACAGAAGCAGACTCTGAATTCCCATGGCCTTGTCCGTGAACCCAGCAGACTGTGCAATTGACAGAGCCGATGTCTCATGAGCTACAGGTGTGGCCAGAGCTAGTCTTGTGATCGTCCCATCAGGAGTGTGCTCAGGGCTGTCCCAGGAAACCAGTCACGACCATACCTGAAGAGACCCTGCTGGAAGATGGAATTCCTGCGGGTTTTCCTGATGATCAGGTCGGCTATTTGCTGGACCATGATGCCAACAAAGAACGCTGTGTAGCCTGTCCACTCTAGGTACTGCCTCTGGTAGCGTGTCTATTAATGGGCGGAGAAGGAAGAGCCCATGAGGTCCGGAGGAAACCACAGGGGGCTTCAGTGCAGTTCTGCTTATCTTCTCTCTGCCCCACCCCACCAAGACCCACAAGGCCAGGTCCACATTTGGGAAGAAACTATTCTTTGTGCCAGGTGAGTAGGGAGAGATGTTCATTTTATGTGTCCCAACTATGGACATTGGGTTGGTCACTCTTCCAAGCCTGTGGCAAAGTTAATGTAACAGAAGGGAGCTATTGGGGTATAGTTAGAGAGGAGGCTGCTTCCCGAGTCCTGGCAGAGGCCAGCCCGTGTCACCAAGGGGCCCTGAGCCCTTGACCAAGCAGCTTTCACAGGCCATTCAGGGACATGGAGGTTCTGCCAGGCAGTGGCTCCGACCACTCACCCACTCCTGCCCGTAGCTGTCCTCCAAGTCGTTCACGTCATCCTTTTCCCACTCCACCCGCAGGTTGATGAGGGAGCTGGGCAGGAAGCCCTCCTGTGCGTAGACAGTGAAATACACAAGGAACGCCCCCAGGGCTTGCATGAGGCCTGGAAGAATGAGAGATCCCCTCAGGTCAGGCCAGGTCCGAGGGCTACCTCAGCCACCTTCTCATTCCCTACCAAGCCCACCCAGAGGAAGCCACACTTCTGACTGTGGGACTCCAGTGAATGCCCCGGGGTGACAGGGAGACATGCCCTTGCCTACCGATGTGTAGATAAGAGTACACGGCCAGCGGCATGTTCACCAGCCTGTCCTTCTTCTTGTGGCGAGGCTTCCTGTTCATGATGTCACTCTCAGCCTTCTCGTAGGCCAGGGCGATGGAGGGGATCTAGGGGGGAGAGACTGGTGAAGCCCGACCCGGACACTCTATTCTGCCCATAGCAGCAGAGGAGGCAGTGGCACAGTGAGGGTGAGCTGTAGGGGGGACGAGCTGGCAGGGGGCGTGGAACCAGTCCATCCAGGTTGCAGGCAATGGTGACTATGGCTGTGTAGAATTTAAGAGCAGGGGCTTTAAAAATCAACCTTGCTATTGTGAAAAGGAATGACAGTAGCAGGAAACTGGGAGGGCATGGGGGGGCAGGGAGGTGGAGTGGCAGTAGTGGGAAACTGCTTGGGGAAAGGGGGGCACACCTCATCAACAAGGGGTCCTGTACAATGAATATTTGTATACCTAACCCTGAATTGTACCCCACAATTTTAAAATAAAAAATTTTTTAAAAAATCAACCTTGCTGCTGGGCATGGTGGCATACTCCTGTAATTCCCACACTTTGGAAGGCTGAGGCGTGAGGATCGCTGTGCGGGGCCGTTCTCCTGCTGTGAACTCAGCCTGCACCGCTGCCTTCCATGTGGCCCACGTAAACCCCAGCCTCGAAAATTACTGTCATGGGCTTCTTTAAACAGACACATACGAGAAAAGGGGAAGGTTTGGGTGACATTACTGTCAGTCAAGCCTGTATAAAGTCTTAATCACCTCTGCTTCTTACTGTGTTGAGGTGGGGCTTTGGAGAAGATTCCCTTACTCAACCAGGGGTGATTGTGGGGACATCATGTTAGCGGCTGGGACCCCAGCATCACAGAGACCACCCGGTTGAAGGTTCAGTTTCCCTAAGGGAGGCACTGACCCATGGCCTATTTTTTTTTTGGAAGGCAAACTTCATGTCTTGAAAGATTATCTATGAAGTGAAGGAGTTTTAATTTCTGTTTTTGTTTTTTTTGAGTTGGAGCCTCACTCCATCGCCCAGACTGGAGTGCAGTGGCCGCTCCCGGCCACCGCAGCCTCAACCTGCTGGGCTCCGGCGATCCTTCCGCCTCAGCCTTCCGAGTAGCTGGAATTACAAGCATGAGCTACCTCGCCCAACTAATTTTTGATTTATTGTAGAGATGAGGTCTCGCCAAGTTGCCCAGGCGGGTCTCGAACTCGTGGGCTCAGGCAATCCACTCACCTCAGCCTCCCAAAGCGTGGGATTACAGGCTGAGCCACCGAGCCCGGCAGGAGTTTTAGTTTCTATACATGATGATGTCTCTAGTCCCTTGAGTGGGAGTGTGGTCCACTTCGTTAGAAACCAGAGCTGGCTAGGTGTGATGGCTCAAACCTGTAATCCCAGAACTTTGGGAGGCCAAGGCAAGAGGTTGCCTGAGCTCAGGGTTTCGAGACCAGCCTGGGAAACTTGGCAAGACCTCGTCTCCACAGTGAATCAAAAAAATAAGCTGGGCAATGTAGCGCGTGCCTGTAGTTCTAGCTACTTGAGCTACCTGGAAAGCTGAGGTGGAAGGATCGCCTGAGCCGAGCAGGTCGAGGCTGCGGTGGCCGGGAGTGGCCACTGCACTCCAGCCTGGGTGACAGAGTGAGATTCCAACTCAAAAAAAGAAAAACATGGGAGTTTGAGAAGCACTGACTTTGTCCATCCCCTGGCCTTTGGAGGAACGACCCAGGCCTTCGCTCCCCTGAGGTGGTCACCAGCCCATGTTCCCTCAGTGCCACTTACAATGTCCGTGCCCAGGTCGATGAACAGGATGGTGATGGTGCCAATGGGCAGGGGTAGCCCCACGATGATGTAGATGAGGAAGGGACACAGTTCGGCGATGTTCTTGGTCAGGGTGTACGCGATGGTCTTCTTGAGGTTGTCAAAGATCAGGCGGCCTAGGGAGAGATGCTCCTCCTTGTCGGGCTTGCCTCTAGGCCCTGGTGGCCGGCCCTTGCGAAGACCACCCAGCACCTCACTCACCTTCCTCCACGCCTGTGACGATGGAGGCGAAGTTGTCATCCAACAAGACCATGTCGGCGGCATTTTTGGCTGCATCGGAGCCCGCGATGCCCATGGCGATCCCAATGTCTGCCTTCTTGAGCGCCGGAGAGTCGTTCACTCCATCCCCTGTCACTGCAACAACCGCATCCTGTGGGGACCAGGAGAGAGCGGGATGAGCGGGCCCAGGGTCCCAGGGTGTTCACCAGTGACCTGGCCTCCTGTTGAGTGGAGGCCATAAGGACAACTGTGGCAGAAGTGCAGGGCCTGGGGAAGGTGAAGACAGGGATTAGGCACAAGAACAGGGAGCCCAACAAGCCGTGTCCACACAGGAAGAATCCCACAGGCGTGCAAGTCCCTGGGGGCATTTCACACCTCGTGTCTTTACATTCTGCATTTTATACCCTTGCAGTTTTCAGTCTCCTGATTCACACCCATCAGAGGCAAGCACTTCCCTCCAGAGCCCCTGGCGTCTGGTGATAAATGCAGGGTCACCCTGTTAGGGTTTGCAGCCAGAGTCTCAAAGGAGCACAGGGTGAGCTCCCTGAGATGGAGAGGTCCGGTCGCACGGGTGGGCCTGGAACCCTCTCTGGAGGGGTTTCAAAGGTGCCACAGCCTGGTCTGAGGTCCACACCCCTGCTCTGCATTCCCTGAGGACAGCAAAGGTCCTGGTCAGTCCTCTGGGCACTACTGTCCACTCACCTGCCTCTGACAGCCCTCCACGATGATCAGTTTCTGCTGGGGGGACGTCCGGGCAAAGACGATTTCCGAGTAGGTGGCTAAGATCTCATCCAGCTGGTCCGGGCTCATGTCCTTCAGCTCCATGCCGGTCACCACTGCGGCCTTGGCATCCCTGGAAGGGCCAGGAGAAACCGGGCAAGACCCGAGGCCAGACCTTAGGTAGAAACTGTTTCTTCAGGATGTGGGTTGATGCCTCTTTGACTCGACCTGGAACCCAGCGTCCCTGGCACCTAATGCTCCAGGGAGGTAATGGGGGACAGTGTGGTCTACTTTTCAAGACCGCAAACGGGCTAAAATAAGGCCATTTCCTGGTATCGTATGACACAGGAGTAAAAAGTCATGTAGCCCTTTTCCTACTGCAGGGGTGAGAGAGGTGCTTCCTGGAGCAAAGCTTTCCTTCACTCGTAGAAGGAGGTTGCACAACTGCCCATTTACATGTCTTGGATCCTGGAACTTCCTTATAGGCAATAACTCTTTGCTGCTGTTGTTTACTTCAGATTTACCAAGTGTCCACCATGTGTGTGTGCTGCGCAATGGAAAGGTCTGCTGGGGTCTTAGAGCTACACTGTTTTCTGCTGACCACGAGAGTTCGGTTCCAGGGACTGTTGACTATGCAGCGCCAACTGTACCACCCCCAGCTGAGATCCTCAGGACTTTCCCTGTGCTTGCAGCAGGCCCAGGAGCCCTAGCATGATTCGCAAGGCCAGTTGCATCTGTGCCACCAGCCGTGCCTCCCCGCGGGCTCTCCTTCCAGCCCCCCGGGCCCTCTCAGGTCTGAGACCCTGGCGTCCCTACCATCCCAAGGCCTCCGTGGGCCCTGCTCCCTTTCAAGGTGTGGACAGATCTCCCCTTAGCCACCCTTGGCCAGCCCTCATGTCAGCCTTCGAATGCCAGCTGTAAGGCTGTAGGTGCAAAACACCACATGCCTTTTTCTTGGCAATTTATTTTATTTTATTTTAATTTTTGAGTTGGAGTCTCGCTCTGTCACTCAGATGGGAGTGCAGTGGCTGCTCCTGGCCACCGCAGCCTCTACCTGCTGGGCTCCGGCGATCCTTCCGCCTCAGCCTTCCGAGTAGCTGGAATTACAGGCGTGCGCTACCAAGCCCGGCTACTTTTTTGATTTATTGTAGAGATGAGGTCTCGCCTGCCCAGGCGGGTCTTGAACACGTGGGCTCAGGCAATCCACTCACCTCAGCCTCCCAAAGGCGCGGGATAACAGGCTGAGCTACCGAGCCCGGCCTTCTTTGCAATTTACAAGTTTGTGCTTTTTAGGTCTGTTTTTGCTCTTGGTGCCAAGTACTGGAAGTTCAGCACTTGACTCAAACTGTAGGTTTTCTTAACTGCTGGCTAAAAATATAGAAGTAAGTTAGGAAGGAAAGGGTGTTTCCTTTCTCCTTACGTCTGCCACAATACAGATTTTCTATGGCAAAAAATCTAAAGCTGATGAGCAACTAAATTAAAACATTCACAAAAGCATCCACTGAACTTAGTGTGGGGGCTTGTGTGAAGATATCTACTCCACTCTTCCCTTCTGTCGCCATTGTGGACGTGGTAGTGGTCGTCATGAGGGTTAATCCCATTGTGGCTTCTGACCACAGCAAGAGCTGCGAGAGGCATTTCAATATACCGTCCCCCATTTGCGGGAAGACGACGTCCTCCCCTCTTTCCAAAGCACTGAGACAGACCTGCAATGTCCCCTCCAGGACCATCTGGGAGGAGAAGTCCAGGTTGGGCGAGGACACTATGTAGGTCAAATTGGCAAAGTGGTCCAGGCCACAGGAAGGACCGTGTCGTCTACACCGAACGGGTGCAGCAGGAGAGGCTGATGGCACCAAGGCCCCAGCAAGTGATTGTCACTAGCCTAAAACTGCACAGAGACCACAGAAGATCCTGGAATCAAAAGCCGAATCTCACCAAGTAGAGAAGAAAAAGGGCAAATGTGAAGAAGAAACAGTTGAGAAGATGGAGGATTCAAGTAATCACATATGCAACATTTGATAAAAATTGCTAAAAGGAAAAAAATGTATAATGTAAAAATTTAAAAACTAAACAAACAAGTCCCAAACCTGTTTTTCTTTTCTTTTCTTTTTTGTGCCGGAGAGTGAGAAAACAGGATTTATTGAGAGGACAGAGGAGCTCCCACAGAGGGAGGGGATCTGAAGGGGTTGCCCACAAACCTGTTTTTCATAGAGGTTTGTTGTTTATGCCACAGAACATCAGAGGACTCTTGGGCTGTGGACACTGTTGCTGTCCTAAGCCTGGGATACTGGTTGGTTGTCTGATGTGGTGGTGTTTCCTGTAGTAATTTACTGCCTGACAGCTCCTTATTCCTAGAAGGCCTAAGTGCTTGGGTCTCTAGAAGGTGTTCATTGGTCTTTGTCTCTTCATCCCATATGCACGAAAGCACAAACCAGCTGATGAGATTTCTCTTCAACCTTAGGTTTTGGAGTCTCTGCTTCACTGAAACCATGTGCAGCCCGGCCTCTCCCTTCCACGTCCAGCTCCCTCGTCCCTAGGCCTCTCCATTATACTGACCAGGTCACCACTGGGATTTTTCTGTCTCCCTGGCTAGTTGGAAAGCTCCACAGTGGTGTGGATGGCATTGTCCCGTTGGCTGCTGTAGTTCCAGGCCTAGCACAGAGCCTGGTATACGATTGGTGCTCAACAATTGTTGAAAGAATAGATGAATGAGTGAGTAGATGAATGGATTAAAGGAGACACTGGTTTAAACGAATGAAGAGAAACAAGGACAGATGTTTTCTTTAGGAAGCTTCGATTCTATTTACTACCAAACAAAAAAGAAGCATGTGCTTCCATGAAGTCAGCTGAAGGGAAAAATACCCAAGATCCTCACTTGTCTGGTGGGGGAGGGTGCATGAAACCAAAATGTCCTTACTATTCCTAATCTCCACCTGGATCAATGACAAGTGATTTCATATACTCCCTTTGTTTCCGTTTTTCTCACTCTAAATTAGGCACCTAGGTATTCAGATCCAGTTCGATGGCTTTTGACATTTTAGATGAGGATGTAGGAATGGTCCCTTTCATGGTGTTAATACAGTGCATACTAGGTGCTCAGTGAAATCTGGAGTAAATACATGGGATGTGAATCATAGATCAAAGCAGCCTAGCATTACCCCCAAGTGTTTGGCATACAGGTGGCTTGTTCTAAGCAGCACAGCTATCTAGAGCCAGCGGGGCCCTGAGAGTTGCACTGGAGCTCCTGCCAGACTGGGTCTGTGCTTACCATTTGTTAACTTGCTCCACGGCAATGTTGAGACGATTTGCAATGTCTTCCACCGTCTCGCTGTTGGCTGAGATGATGCCCACGCTCTTGGCGATGGCTTTGGCCGTGATGGGATGATCACCAGTAACCATGATAACCTAGAGCACAGACCACCAAAAGGTCATGGATGATGTAAAACTAAGCCGGCCAAGGTGGAGATGGTCTGTACTGCCCAATCCTCTGGGACCTGGTGAGTATGGCTAGTGATCACTGGCCTTTGCCCTGTGGGAAGCTCTGGATCAAAGGCACAACTGTCTTTGAGGGACACTAACCCCACTGGGACTACCCTTACTCCTAAGCTTCTTATGCTTCCTCCTGTGATAGGAGAGGAAGGCCTTCCCCTTTGACATTTTATTTACGAAAGGGCCCGTGGATGTCTACTTGGGGCAGCCCCATATTGCTTCACCAGTCTGGAACTGGAATTAATAGATGACTGAAATTCTGAAGACTGGCTACAGAGGTGAACCTAAGGATCAAGTATTAAAGTCTTTTGACCAGACGCGGTGGCTTATGCCTATAATTCTAGCACTTCGGGAGGTTGAGGTGAGAGGATTGCCTGAGCCCATGGGTTCGAGACCAGCCTGGCAACTTGGTGAGACCCCATCTCTACAATAAATAAAAAAAATTAGCCAGGCTTGGTGGTGTGCGCCTGTAGTTCCAGCTACTTGGACGGATGAGGCAAAAGGATAACCTGAGCCCAGTTGGTTGAGGCTGCGGTGGCCAGGAGCATGCCACTGCCCTCCAGGCCAGGCGACAGAGTAAGAATCTTACTAAAATAAATAAATAAAATTTAAAAACCCCAAAATAAAGCCTTTTATTTTCTATCATGGTCTAGGGCAAGATCGGGCCACATCAAGGCACTGGGAGATTATGCTGGTTACTGTGGTAATTTATCCCACACAGACACATGCATTTCACTTTTACACGGCAGTTACTGAAATCTCAGTGCAGTGAAAGTCGAGATTTTAAAAAAGGGAATTGTGACATTTACTTGGAGAGATCTAAATACTGACCACCTCTTATAACAGACATTATTAGAAAGAGATGCCACATGAAGGCGGAATGCCCTGAGTCAAGAAAATAACTCCCACCTTGATCCCTGCACCGCGGCATTTGGTGACTGCATCTGGCACAGTGGACCGAGGGGGGTCGATCATTGACAAGAGCCCCACAAAACACAGGTTGGAGGTGGGAAAGTTCATGGCATCTGTGTCAAACACATAGGTTTCCGGAAACTTGTCTGCTGGCAGGTAGAGATGACAGAAGCCTGGAATAGGGATACATTTGGGAGTCAATGAACCCAGGGAAAGAAAAGACAAGACAAAAGCCAAGAACATGTTGAAAGGCTCTCAATCCTTTGCTATGTTACCAGAATATTAGAAAACACCAGGATTGTTTAATTCCATCAATTCCATACTGCATGGTTTTTTTTTTTAAAGAAAGACATCTTTCCTTCAAAAATAGTTTACTGTGTGCTCACTGGTATCTCCATTATGTTCTAGAGATATAAAGATCAGGCATGAACAGCCCTGACTTCCGAAGATGTCATAGTTAGGGGAGCCCGACTGCGAGTTAAAGGGATACAGCATATAAGGCAGGTGAGTATGGCAGAGCAGAGTGACACTTCAGCCACAATTGCTTCATGGAGGCCACGTGTGAGCTGAACCTTTCAGAGGCACAGGTGTTTTCCAGGGAAAGAACAGAGGGGTGGGGTGGGAAAGCTATTTCTGGCAGAGAAAACACTCATCCTGTTGGGCAAAGCGGGGAAGGACCTTGGGGCATGACTGGAGCTGTGCGATGTTCAGTCTTTAATCAAAGGGTCAGAGAAAAGTCATTAGGACTGGGGTCGACTCATCCTTTTCAGAGGGCACCGCCAGTCTCTCATAGACACCAGTCTCTGTGTCTCCTGGGCTGCAGAGAGTGTGTGATGAGATTTTACACCCAATATCTTCTGGCATGGCCCACTGCATTGCAGAGTCAGCACAGCAGACTCAGGAGAGGTGAGGTGAGGTTCCTGGAGTGACTCTAGTTGGACGGGGATCAATCTGAGTTGAAAACCTAACTGGTGCTGTAGGTTATTTAAGGTGTGCTTAAAGTGTTATCATCTCATTTGTGCACTTTATCTGCTCTCCTGAATCAAATGGCCTTAGAAACCCACATTCCGCAGATTCCGTCTCAATGGCCAGAGCTTTTGTGGTGTTTAATGAGCCCTGCACCAGGCATGGAAACCTTCCTCAGTCTGTGTGTCTGGACAGGCACATTTGCTGCCCTGACCCCAGGAGCAGGACACTGTCCCTGTGATGCCACTGCAGGGGCCCATCAGACTCCTCCCACTGTGGTTGCATTTCTAAGGTTCCTTTCCTTAACCCCCAGTCTTGGTAACGGGCATCATATTTCTCATCTGGGCAGCCTCTTCTTGCTGGGCAGCCTCAATGTTCCCCAGAGGACAGAGCCTGACTCCTGACCTGCATGTCCGGGCCTCTGCATGGTGACCTCCACCTGGGCCTGTTTCCGTGACTGCGCTATCTCCTCCGTTCTGAGCCCTCCACCTGGCCACACAACTACCTTACATGACTCTGGGCCTAGACTGCATTGTTCCCTCTGCCCTGGTTACTCCCCTACCCCCTTCAAATGCCACCGTTGCAACCCAGTTTAATATGTAACTCCTTCCAGAATCCGCCCTGTGGCTGCTTCTGGGGACACGGCTCAGCTAGCTGAAACCATCACCTCTTCGTCCCACCTCCTGCTCATCTTGTCCTCCCTCGTATGCTCCCTGTGGCCACTCTGTGGGTCCCAGGGCCCCTGGCACATGCCTTGACACCCAACTCACCCAGCACACGCTCGCCCAGCCCACCCAGCTCCATGTAGGCTGTGTGGAAGGCCTGGGCCGCGCTCTCGTCCAGCGGCTGCTCCTGGCCATGCACCATGATGGTGCTGCACCGCTCCAGGATGCGCTCAGGGGCGCCCTTCATCACCAGGAGGAAGCGCCGGTCCCCAGGGTCCTCTGTCTCGTGGATGGAGAGCTAGGCAGGGAGGACAGAGCAGTGAGGTGTGGGAGGGGGAAGCTGCCTTTCCTAACACGTGACCGAACGTGGGGGGTGAGGAACACGACAGCCCAGAATGGCCGTCCTTTTCACGTCTGTGGCTAGGTCATGTGCAGAGTCCAGGTCTAGAATTCCACACAACGGGGGCACGGCTTAGACCCCAGCACTGGCTGCTCTAGGGAATCCCGACGTGGATGCCAGTTGGAAAGTTTTGTGCCTTGAACAAGACCTCCTGGAGTCCTGGCGAGGTGGGGCTGCAAGCATCCCCATCCACCATCACCTCCTTTTGGACCAGCAGCCCCTGAGACCCAGGCCATTCTGAGCTCATCTCCTTGAAGCTGCAGGAATCCCCAAGTCCTGTAGCTCCCTGTCAATCCACTTCTCTTGTCTGAACGTTAAAGAAAGTGGTGAGTGTGAGGAAGCAGACACTCATAGGCATCAAAGTCACGGGTGCCCCACTTTTAACTGGAATGCCCTCCACCTAGTAGCGTTGCTTCTAGATCCCTCCTAATAGAGTAATCAGAAAGAGTTGTGAAATAATGTCTAGAGAAGAATAAAACGGCTCTTAGCCTTATTAGACATCAGGAACTCCTCTAAGCTCTCAGGAGGAATTTCAGGAAGCTCGAGTGTGTGGGAGAAAATAAGCGACAGAGGAAAGGGCTACTGTTTTGGATCCAACAGTTGATGTCAACTCAGCAGTTCTGGGACTTCTGGATATCAAAGATGAGCACAGAAAACACTACAGGACAAATAGGGTTGTGGCCTAGTCCCCCTCCCCCTGTTCTTCCTCCTCCTCCTCCTTGTTAATGGACAAGTAAAGACACTTAAGAAAACAAACCAGAGCCAGGCTCGGTGGCTCAGCCTGTAATCCCACGCCTTTGGGAAGCTGAGGTGAGTGGATTGCCTGAGCCCGCGGGTTTGAGACCCGCCTGGGCAGCAAGATCTCATCTCTATAATAAATAAAAAATTAGCCAGGCGTGGTAGTGCACGCCTGTAGTTCCAGCTACTTGGAAGGCTGAGGCGGAAGGATTGCCAGAGCCCAGCAGGTCGAGGCTGCAGTGGCCGGGAGCGGCCACTGCACTCCAGTCTGGGTGACCGAGTGAGACTCCAACTCAAAAAAAAAAAAAAAAAAGAAAGAAAACAAACCAGCTGGGCTTGGTGGCTCAGCCTGTAATCCTGCGCCTTTGGGAGGCTGAGGTGAGTGGACTGCCTGAGCCCACGGGTTTGAGACCCGCCTGGGCAGCGAGACCTCATCTCTACAATAAATCAAAAAATCAGCCGGGCATGGTAGCGCATGCCTGTAATTCTGGCTACTCAGAAGGCTGAGGCTGAAGGATCACCAGAGCCCAGCAGGCGAGGCTGCGGTGGCTGGGAGCAGCCACTGCACTCCAGTCTGGGCGACTGAGTGAGACTCCAACTCAAGGCTCCGTGGCTCAGCCTGTAATCCCACGCCTTTGGGAGGCTGAGGTGAGTGGATTGCCTGAGCCCGAGAGTTTGAGACCCGCCAGGGCAGCGAGACCTCATCTCTACAATAAATCAAAAAATCAGCCGGGCATGGTAGCGCATGCCTGTAATTCCGGCTACTCGGAAGGCTGAGGCAGAAGGATCGCTGGGGCCCAGCAGGTTGAGGCTGCAGTGGCCGGTAGCGGCCACTGCACTCCAGTCTGGGTGACAGAGTGATAGTCCAACTCAAAAAAAAAAAAAAAGATAGATATATATATATTTATATATATATATTTATATATACTCATCTCTGTATAAAACTTCTTAAGACACTAATTTTCCATAGACGACTTTAAATGTTTTCACGGACTCGTCTGACTGAGGAGTCGCTCTTCTAAGATCGACTTGGACTATCCCTTGTTTTTCCTCCAGCTGAAGGGTTCAGCAGAGACCGCGCTCCAAGGCCAGCACCCAATCCCTGCCGGGGCTGAGTGCCGCTCATACGTGCGCACAGGACGGCCCCAGGGGTGTCTCGGGAGCATCAGCAACTTCATGGACACGTGCACAGGCCCCTCCCCTCCAGCCCCACTCTGTCAGTCGCTTCCTCCCCAGCCCACACACGAGGCCTCAAGGTCTCATGGAACCTGCTTTGTCCCACTTCTCATGACAGGGAGTTACTCGATCGTGGAAGACAGAGCTTCAACAGGGCTCTCAGTCTTGTTCCGGTTGGGAGATCCTCTAGCCTGGCCTTCACTGTGTGCTGATACTCTGCACCTCAGGCTCCTCACCCCTACCTGCCTCCTGGAATCCTAGGAATGGGCGATTTAACACACGAGGGAGCTAGCTCAGAATGGCTGCTATGACTGCTACTGTTTTAGGACTGCTGCTCATCCCATGCTCACGGATAGCTTATTTAAGAGATCCAACTTCTTGGCTTTAGAATTTTACACCCTACGCTTTTGTCAGTTGTCTATTTAGCCAGCTACCCTTTTTTCTGGGTTCATTATCCACAAAGACAACATATGCGGCACAAAGAGTGCTTCTCCAAGGCTGGGCGTGGTGGCTCAAGCCTGTAATCCCAGCACCTTGGGAGGCTGAGGCGAGATAATTGCCTGAGCCCAGGGGTGCAAGGCCAGCCTGGGCAACTTGGCGAGACCTTGTCTTTAAAGTAAATTAAAAAATTAGCCGGGTGTGGTGGTGGATAGGTATACTTTCAGCCACTTGGAAGGCTGAGGCTGGACTCCAACTCAACAACAACAAAAAAGGGTGCTTCTCCAGCCTTAAATTCCATCCACATAAAGATGGCGAATGACACCAGAAACTGACAACGCACACACACACACACACACACACACACACACACACACACACACACGGCTGTGGTTACCTTTTTTTTTGAGTCAGAGTATTACTCTGTTGCTCAGGCTGGAATGCACTGGCATGCTCATGGCCACCACAGCCTTGACCTACTAGGCACAGGCGATCCTTCCCCTTCAGTCTTCCAAATAGCTGAAACTACAGATGCGAGCCACCATGCCAAGCTAATTTTTAAAATTTTCTTATTATAGAGATGAGGTCTTGCCAAGTTGCCCAGGCTGGTCTTGAACCAATGGGCTCAGGCAATCCTCTCACCTTGGCCTCCCAAGGTGCTGGGATTACAGGCTTGAGTCACTGTGCCCAGCACTGTCAACATTTTCTACGGACCCGTTTCCTCATCTGTAAGTTGGGATTAGTTAGTTCTACCTCATAGGAGTGTGGTGAAGGTTAATGAGATCATGCAGGTTAAGTGCTTGTATTATGTAGTGTGCAGCAAGTGGGAGTTCTCACCAGGGTATCCCACCTCTCACAGAGCCTTTGAGATATGGCTGTTGTTCCTCACATGTGCAGAAGATCCAGTAGGGTGGCACGTGTATGCATGAGTTTGAGTGTGCATTCAGTGTGAGTGTGCATGTATGAGAGTGCATGTGAGTGTGTGTGCACGTGTGAGTGTGCACATGAAGTGTGCAACTGTGAGTAAATGTGTCTATGACTGTGTGTGCATGTGATGTGTGTGAGTGTGACTGTGAGATGTGCAGTTTGTGTGTGATGTGCATGTTACTGTGTGAGTGAATGTGCATGAGTGAATGTGCGTGTTTCTGCGACCATGTGGCACGCGTATGAGTGAATGTATATGTATGTGTGTGCGTGTGCATGTGATGTGTGTGTGACTGAGTGAATGTGTGTGCGACGATATGTGTATGTGATGTGTGCGACTATACGAGTGTGCGTGTGAGGTAGCGAAGCACTCCCGAGATCAGCCAGGCCCCACCAGAGCCTGGCCATTCTCACCCCCCTGCTTCAGCGAGGGAAGGAGGCCGCCAGGGCAGCGTGGCCTGGATGGACCAGACACCATGTCCTGCATCCCCGAGGACTGCTTTTAAGTAAGTGTTCACCAAAGGATATGTGCAGGTAGAAACAGCCTTCTGGTGATAACAAAGGCTGCCAGTTGTGAGGAAAAACTCACCTGAAATTTATTGGTAGAGTTAAAAGGGATTTCAGCGACTTTGCGGTTTCTTTTTCTAATTTGCATCACGTCACCCAAAATGACCTCGGAGAATTTCAAAAGAGCAGTTTCTGAGGCATCTCCAACCACGACTTTCTGGAAATCAGAGGAGATGAACAAATAGTTCAGCGGCGCAACTCACATAACATGGGCTCTTATGTGATTGTCATTAAGGAACCAGCATGCTCGGTACACGACCCAGCATGTCTCCTGACTGAGCTCACCCTCTGGTTGGAGAGAAGACACCATCACATGATGCTTAGGGACAGACGCAAAACAACAGTAAGCGTGTAAACCAATGGTGCTACCTACTGGCATCAGGGACTTTCAGAGATGCGGGAGCACCACCAGAACTGAGCATTTCATGCGAAAAAGCAGCTATGACTAGATTTTGTAGACAGGAGGGTTAAGGTGCCCAGAGGAGCAGAAAAAAACTTTCTAGAAGTCAGAGTACGGCATGAATGGGAAGGCGCCTTTGTGCGCGTTCGAGGTATAAGCAGACACGGAGGGCCCTGAAGGGCAGGCCCAGACTTAAGAAGAAAATAAAGAGCTGGGCTCGGTGGCTCAGCCTGTAATCCCGCGCTTTGGGAGGCTGAGGTGAGTGGATTGCCTGAGCCCGGGGGTTCGAGACCCGCCTGGGCAACTTGGCGAGACCTCATCTCTACAATAAATCAAAAATTAGCCGGGCATGGTAGCGCGCGCCTGTAGTTCCAGCTACTTGGAAGGCTGAGGCAGAAGGATCGCCGGAGCCCAGCAGGTTGAGGCTGCGGTGGCCGGAAGCGGCCACTGCACTCCAGTCTGGGCGACAGAGTGAGACTCCAACTCAAAAAAAAAAGAAAGAAAATAAAGAAGTACAGAAAGGTTAGGGGCAAAGTTAGATGAAGATAAAAGCACTACATAAGGAAAATGATAGGAGCATTTGAGAAAGACTCAGGGAAGGATAAACTGGAATTGGGGAGGCCAATTAAAGAGCTTAGTGCAGCTATTTAGACACAAGGCATGGCGGTAATAGAAATGTAAAAATATGTCTTTTGAAGCAAGAACGATAGAACTTAGTAACTCATTAGCTACCAGGAAGAGAGACAGTTGAAGATGACTTCCAAGAGTCTTGGCCCAATGACAAGTAGGATGGTTATGAAAAATAGAAAATGGGGACAAGATTTGATGTGACCCGGGCTGGATACAGGTGGAAGTTGACAAGTATAATTTGCTGAGAGGCTAATATGGCGAAACTTCCAAGTAAGCACACAGCCAGTTGGAGACGTGGGTTGGAGTCTGGGTGAGAAATTGGAACTGGACATACAGAGTCGAGAGATACCGGCAGAGAAGTGACTGGCCACAAAAAGCGTTGACGAGCTATCAGTGCTCAAGGTCAGGGAAGGAGACAGGTGGCAAACAGAAAGGCCCAGGGAACACAGACTCAGTGACTCACTGAGATGCAGAAGAGAGAAAAAGGAGGAGGAAGGAGGGCAGGAAGAGTGAGTTGTGTATTCCCACATTCCAGGGCCCTCAGAGCTCCATCGGCCGCCACCTTCTGGTCAAGAGGAAAATGTGCTGGGATCCGTTCCTTCCTTTCCATCCAGTCATATTTTAAAGTTCTGTTATGTCATTCATGTAATAAAGAAACTTGGATGACATCCACATGGCTGGCAAAGGAGTCAGGAAAGTAGCTTTAAGGAGCATTTGCTGCCTGGAATGAGACAGAATTTTCAAAAGGACCTACAGCAATATTCTGCAGTCTTAAGCAACTTTGTGGCTTCTCAAAGCTACGGAGCATGAAGAAAACCCTTTGTGTGTCTTGTGAGTCCAACCTGGTCTTGCTAGCACCATGTAACCTTTACTCAGTGGGCGAGATTAAGCCAAGCACCCAGGTGGAACTGAGCAGGTGACTTCAAAAGACTGAGTGCGCAGAAGCGTTACCTTCATGATAGGGACGCTCTCCTGTCCTGGCTTGAACTCGGCCCGGTTGCACAAGGTTATTACCTTGGATAAGGAAGCCCACGTTCCAGAGCTTTGGTCAAAGACTTGGTCTGGAAGACAGAAGGAACAGCGGCTGCTGTGAGGACTGGCCCGCCATCCAAGAGTTCCTTTCCAGCAGTACTCTGTGTTTGTAGACCTCAATGCTCAGCCCACACCGAGTGTTCCAACTCACTTGACTGGTTCTCACTGGTGTCAGCCATGAAGATCTGATGGTCAAACCACAGGTGGGCCACAGTCATCCTGTTCTGGGTCAGCGTCCCGGTCTTGTCCGAGCAGATGATGGAGGTGGAGCCCAGGGTCTCCACAGCCTCCAGGTTCTTCACCAGGCAGTTCTTCTTTGCCATCCGTTTTGCCGTCAGTGATAGGGTCACCTGGCAGGAGAGAGAGAAGGGCGCTTTGGGGCAGTTCTCCCTTTGAACTCAGGTTGGACAACACAGAAATAGCCAAGATTGCTGTGACTGAATTTTAGGAGAGAGCTGGACTAGTTCTAGGAGAGAGGTGTAGGTGCCGGATAGCTGACCTGGTGGCTCAGAAGCCACTAAACGCCCTCTATACCTCCAACTTTTTAAAGAAGTTAAACATGAGGCACTTTCCTCATCCCTTCGTTCCTTGAAGAAAATGAGCCCGAGTGACCCACGGGCGGCAAAGACAGGCGCGGAGCTGTGACTGGTGCTCACGCGTGATCAGAAAAGGGGATGGGCCGCGTGCTCCTGTCACCCATGCAAGGGCGCATGAGAGAGCTCGGCTGGCGTACGCCAAAGAGTCAGGCTCACAGAACTCACTTGCTGCTTTGGGGAAATCAAGGAAATGAGTGAAAATGTGTTTAAATTTAAGAGCTCCATATTTTAAAGATTCTATCAGAGCTCCAGATCTCATAGTGTTCTGTTTGGCTCTATTTTCTTCTGTCTTCTGGAGTGAGAAGAGACCTGGAATTCCAGAAATTCTCTTTTCTTTAGTTAGGACACCACTAGGCTGATGACTCCACAGCGACATGAATGGAGATGTGACCTTCTTCCCTTTCCCTTGGGGTCCCCACAGTAAAGACCGCAGAGGGGGTTCCTGTGAAGACTGAATGTGATGGGCCCTCATAAATGGAAAGCCACAGCTGAATCTGGGGTTGGGCAGGAAGCGGCTGGATTCCTTTTCCAGAAAAATGGGATTTTTGCTGTTGTTGTTGCTTGAGAGTGGAAAGCAAAGTGAGGCAAATAACGTGCCTCAATTCCCAAGCTGTAGAAACTGCCACAGAAATGTGGGGACAGCATCAGCCTTCCAGGAAATCTAGACTCCAGAATGGTGGAGTCTGTCTTCACCGGCACTTACGGGGGCAAAGAAACATAAATGAAGTGCAGACAGATGTCCTGAAAGCAGAAGCACAATGCATGCAAACATGAAGGGAAAAACCCCACAATTCCTTTTGCTCTGCTATAAAAAAGTATTCAGAAGGTTCTGTCCCTGGTGTGTGAGCATTTTGCCCTGAAACTGGGGAGATGAGTGGTTTGGATGCGAAACCTCCCAGGGGTTGGGGTGCGGGATACCCCACGGCACAGACTCACAGTGACAGTAGCCAGGAGGCCCTCGGGCACGTTGGCCACAATGATGCCAATGAGGAAGATGATGGAGTCCAGGACATGGTACTTCATGGAGACAGCAATGATGAAGAAAAGGACGCCGATGGAGATGGCCACTCCGGCCACGATGTGAACAAAGTGCTCGATCTCTATGGCAATGGGTGTCTTCTCATTTCCCACGCCGGAGGCCAAGGAGGCAATGTGGCCGATGACAGTGCGGTCACCTGTGTTGATGACCATGCCGGTGGCAGTGCCTAAGGGCAAGCAGACATTTGACTCCAGGGGCCCTTAGCTAGGAGGTGTGTGTGGCCAGCTTGCAGTCCCATTTGTGGCTGGTGTGATTATTGAGTTCATGACATGGCAAAGGCCAAGCACCTGTCTTCTAGACCTTGCAACTCCCGGCTTCCTCTGGCACAAGCTAGTCACAAGGGTAGCGAAGAGACAGACGCAGGCCCCAGGAGGAAGGGGGGCACGATGGGCGAGTGACCCGAGACCAGCAGCCTTACCTTCTAGACAGGTTGTAGAATAGAAGCAGATGTTCTTTGTTTCCAAGGGGTTTTCATGGGTGAACTCAGAGGAGCGGGACTGGGGCTCAGACTCCCCCGTGAGAGAAGAGTTATCCACCTAGAAGAAATGTTGAAAACAGTTCAAAGTCAGGTCTCTTGTTCTCTGCATCTTGTATGTGGCCGGGAGAGATAACAGAATGCCAGCCAACCCCAGGCTTGGTCCTCAGGGTGGGTGGCCCCAGTGCTTACCCGACACCCCTGGCAAGACAGCACCCGGATGTCTGCAGGGATCTGGTCTCCTCCTTTGATCTCCACTATATCCCCCACCACCAGCTGCTCTGCAGGGAGGATCTTCTTCTCAGAATCACGGATGACAAGAGCTTGCTGCAGAAGAAGACCACGGCAGACACATCAGACCACGGAAGAACGCCGACCCTCCTCCACTCCTGGGTTGCGTCAAACGCCAGGATGAAGGCATTTTGGGACTGTGGCAAGGATGAAACTGAAGACTGCTTCATACAGGCCTGAAGATGCTAGATTTATTTTTCTTGAGCTCATAGAGAAGTTCTTGGGATAGGAAAAGTTTGCAGTCAGGTAGATCTGAGAAAGCGAGAGCCTTGGGCCTTGCAGAAAGAGAATGCAGGGGAAGCATTCCCAGCGCTGGGCAGAAGGTATTCTTTCCACCAGACACTGGCAGCCCCTGGGCCGGGACAGTGTGCGTTTCCTGCCATGGACACTTAACGGGAGGCTCCTGATGGAGAGCATAAGCGGGGTCGCTTGCTGGGAGCGTTTTGTGGCAAACTGCTTCGGGACTAAGGAACAGTAGCAGGATGGTCATAGACACACTCAGGTGTGTCCCCAGCTGTCAGGAAACAATACCCCCAAGATTTTCACAGGCTCCACCTGGAAGCACTGATCTGCTTCCTAGCAGGATCAGAATGTGCAATGCAATGACTGGCATCTCCTGGACTGGGCCTCATTTGATCATCTCTGTGAGGAGCCGGGGTTTGGAGAAGAGATAACTTGCCTAGGGTTCCTCAGACAGCAGAGGGTGGGCGGGGGCTAGGGCAGGGACTCTGGGCTTCCCAACAGCTCAGGCTTCCTCAGCTGAGGCCTCTTCCCCTGGGAGATGAGCAGAGGACAGAGGAGGGTGGCCGCGACTCACCTGAGGAATCATCTTACTGAAGCTGGACATAATGTTGGTGCTTTTTGCCTCTTGGTAATAAGCAAAGATCCCCGTCAGAATGACGACCAGGACAAGAACGGCGCCCAAGTACACCTGGGTGAGGAGGAGAGGGGTCAGTTGGAGGAACAGGTGCTAGCAAGGAGGCAGGCCTGGGGACAGAGCCTCTGTGGAGGACAAGGTGGCGGCAGGGTGTCATGGTGCGACTTGCAGGCCACACATTCACCCACGTGACGTGTACAACTCGTGGAGTTTCTGAAAGATTATGCTGTCCCCACCCACATCCAGCCTCAGAGATCTTCCATCTACCAGTGACCCCGCGCCCTCTGCAGTCCCTTCCGGCTCCGGCCTGGCTCTGCTTCCCGCGTGCACGGATGTGCCTGTCCTGCACCCTTTCTGACAATCGAACCCTACGACCCGTGGCCCTGGACTTCTCTGTCTGAGCCTTGTTGGGTTTGTGGACCTGGTGTCCGGGTTTCAGCACTCTCCAGGCTAAAGGGTAACACGGGCGCTGAGCAGGCACAGCCCCGAAATACTCCACATGGATGCAGATTTTTTCCTTTTGGGAACTCAAGGTGTATTTCTTTTTTAAAAGTCATGTTCATGCTGCCTGTGACGGACACGCCCAAAAGCCAGACACAGTTTCTGTTTTACAGCTGGGGAAACGCCTGACTCTCCTGCACCCATGCAATGACTTCTAGCTCGTGCTGTGTTCCTGAAGGCCTCACTGGATGCCTCTGTTCTCCCCTGTCTCAAGCTGAGCTCCACCAGGAAGGGACAGCCCACCGCCTTACGCTGTCCAGGGATGAGGACATATTGTTGGAGTACTGGATCCCATAGGCGATCCAGCACAGGAAAGCGCCGATCCACAGGAGGATGGAGAAGCCCCCCACCATCTGCTTGAGGAACTTGATGATCTCTGGTGTCTGCTTGGGAGGGCTGAGGGCATTGGGCCCATCTCGGGCCAGCAGCTCGGCAGCTCTGGTGCTGGAAAGACCCTGAGAAGGCCAAGCCACACACACACACACACACACACACACACACACACACACACACACACACACACACAAAGAGAAAACGAGAGAGAAAGAAGGAGGAATAAGATGGTTTTCCTCCCAAGAAGTTCCTTCGAAAAGGGGGCGAAGCCTTCTTCCTCCTCCAATCCCCTTTTCAGAAAGACTATGTAATGCTTAATCCCAACCGGCAAGTGGCTCCAAACATTTACTCGTTTGTTTTCCAAAATGACCCTCTGAGGAAGGCTCCGATATCCTCCTCACTACAGACATGGATTTGGGCACAGAGGTCCCCTAACCCGTCCAAGGCACCTGGCTAGTCCAGGGGCACCAGAGTTCTGCTGGGAGATGGGCTACTGGGCCTCTGCTGCCCTCTTCTAGGGAAGTTTAGTTTCTTAGGGTCTTATTCAGCCATGGGAGTAGCTTGGCTGAGGAGAATTTGAAAGGAAGCAGTTAATCGCCAGGTTTAGGACAATGCAGTCACTCTCCAGAAAACAGGGTCTGTTCTGAAACCCTGTGGATCCAGTGTGTGGGCTTATTTTCATCCTTCAATCTGGTGCTTTTCTCAATATTCGTCCTAAGTTCCCATTTATCCTAATGGTTATAAATCCCATGCCCCCTCCCAGGCCCTGGTGAGCAGCCCCTTCTCAGCCCATCCCCGGGAAGTCAACCATGCCCTGCACACACAGCATCCCTGCACTTTCGTAGGGTTTTCTTCCCCACAAACGGTCTTCCACGGAGAAGGGCTCTGCATGCCTCCTCTCCCTAATGATGCTGGGAGCCTCTCGAAGGCCAGGACTCTCTCAGTCATTTTGTGCCCTCTCGGCCTGGTGGCTTTGCTGCAGCAGGGACTTGTGTGCTGAGTGACTGCATTCAGGCTCTCCAACCCAACACCATCACCCTCCACCGGCCATGCCTTTCCTAGAGCCCCATGACTGTGCTGGAGAGACCCCTAGCAGCACTGTTCAAGGCAAATCAACATGGCCCCCGACTTCTGCCTTCTCCACTCTCACCTCCATTTCCCGCCTGGTACTCCCTGATCCACTTTCCGACTCCTGCTTCTCCAACTTGTCCAAGGAGAGGAGGGGTTTCGTCGGAAATCCTCTAAGTCCTGGTAAATAAGTCTCTGAACGTCCCTCGAGTCTGTCCCTTTCCTTCCCACCTCACAGGGCTGCCTATTTCAGATTCTCATGTCACAGTCCTGGGTTATTGTTCTTCTGGACCCTTCCATCTCCCACCTAAAAACAATCTTCTCCCAGAACTGTCTTTGAGAACCAGTCTTTTTAGATTGCTTCCCTGAGTAGAATCTGTGTCCCTTACACAACTAAGATGACCCTGTTCCTTCGTTGAATGCAAAAGCACGGAGCTTCACCAGATGACCCTGCAGCCTTACTCCCACTGTACCAGCCCCTTCTCCTCACACACGAGCTCCTGGCAAGCCCTGATCCTCTCTAAGCCTAGCCTGTGATCTCTGGCCCCTGGAAACGCTGCTAGCTTAAATTGGAGTCATTCTCCTAAGCTCCAGTCCAAACCCTGCAGCAGGTAGGGGTCCGTGGGTGGTCCCTCTGCTGCAACCCTCCATTCTTCCACCACTCCTCGCTGACCATCCCAGTTGAACAGAGAGAGTGTTATAATACCTCTCTGAATACCTGCCTCCCCCCCACTTCTTAAGGCCAGGATCCCCTGTCCCCCTTCCACCTTCTCACCAGCAGTCCAGGGTGACCCCATGGCATACGACGTTTGACAGGAACATCATCCAGATGCCGACAATGTAGTCTCCAACGTGCTGTTATGGGCCTCCTCCCTACAGGAACCCTGACTCCTCCATGCCCCGGCACACAGCCTTCCCTCTGTAGCTGGGAGTCTCCCTTCCTGACCCCCAGACTCACCATGATGATGTCGGTGCCATATTTCCTCTCCAGCTCCCTGATGCTGAGCTTGTGGTCATCCTGCAGTCCATGGAAGGAAGAGTGATTAGAGAAGTCCCAAAGACTCACAGCCCAAGCTCTGCCTTGCTGTGAGAGCTGGGAGCAAGTAACCTGAGCATGGGACAGGGACGTGTGGGGAGAGAGGATGCCTGTGAGGGGCTGAACAGTGCAGGAGGCACTGCCAAAGGAGCTTTGCCACCGTGTCCTGTTGAGTCACTGCCCACCTGGCAGGAAGCTGCCCTTGTCATTGGCTACCTAGGGGCTGTCTCCAGTGTTTCTGAATGAGCAGCACCGCTCACGTCAGTCTGCCCTCCACATGGGCGTCCTGCACATGTCCTCCCAGGACTAGGGGGCTGGGTGCTTCACTGGGCCTGAAATCCAGGACTGGCTGAGGGTGAGGAGCAAAGAGTCAGATCCACTTCCCAAGGTGGCAGAACTCACCGGGGTCTCTGGCTGAGGGAATTGCACTTCCCCTCACCCGTCATGCACTTGAGCTCCCTGGCAAGGGGAGGCCTGAAGCCTCCAAACCTGCCAGACGAGCCCACGCGGGCAGGGCCACACTGTCAATGTCACCACAGAATCACTAGACCAAAGCAGGGTTTCTCAACTGGGGCCAACAAACATGCTGGGTGCATAATTCTTTGCTGTGAGACTCCCTCTCTCTAGGTGCCACCCACAGCCACCTCCTAAGTTGCGATAACCAAAAATGTTTCCATTTTCCCCAGGGGGTGGAATCCTCTCTCCTCTTCGAGAACCACTGGATTATGGAACTAGAAGCCTCTTCCTGTAGCAGAAAACCCAGGGTAAATCTTCCTTAGCCCCCCCAAACCTAATCCTCAGGATTCCTTAGACCCTGACTGAAACAAAGATTTATACTGTGCCTGGTGCCCAGGACATCTTTTTTCTTAAATATGCAAAAAAGAAAGTTCTATGATGCATTGAGAGATTAGCCCTTCTGATAAAAGAAAACTCATTATTGTCATTATGATTTTGCTCCCAGTTCTGTTCTCAGCAGAGACTGACTGCTCGGCTCAGTCCTCCGATCTCCCAACATCTGTAGAATGTGGTCTTGCGGGAATCTGGAGGATGACTGCAGGGCTCAGGGCAGTTGCAGCAGTGCTCTAAGTTCTGGCAGATGTAAGTAATGAATGACTCAAGCCACCGTGTGCATGGACGGACCAGACAGTTAGGACCAGACAGTTAGGACCAGAGGACCTCTCCAGTCCCTTAGGCCTGGGCTTGGGGATGAGCACGTGGGGAAGGGTGACCCTCTGCTGGTCACCACTGGAATAGCAAGGGCTGCACCCGGTTAACTGTACTTGGGTGCAGCCATTTGTTCAAGTCAGGCAAGTTTTCAGTGTCTTAATCACGGCTCTCTCATATGTTCAGAGGCTGGGATCCAAAAAGCATTCCGGTATTTAAATTACTGGATTCTTGAAAGAAGGTGGAAAAAAGATGCTCCTTTTCCAGCAGGAAATCAGGAGTCACTTGACTAATACTATGTGATGGTCTTCGTGTATCACACATCTTCACAAAGTGCTTGAGAAGGAGATTCTCCTCAGAACCAACCAGCGTATGAGAGAATGAGTAGACAGAGATGGCAAAAATAAGTAGCAACTTCAAGGAAGAATAATAGAGATGTCTTAATCTTTTTTTGAGTTGGAATCTCACTCTTGTTGCCCACTAGTTTTTGTGATTTATTGTAGATACAAGGTCTCACCAAGTTGCCCAGGCTGGTCTCAAACCCATGGGCTCAGGCAATCCTCTCGCCTACGGCCTCCCAAAGTGCTGGGATTACAGGCTGAGCCACCATGCCTGGCCTGTCTTAATCTTAAATACCAGTGATGCACAGAAAATAATAACAACTGGCCGGGCATGGTGGCGTGCGTCTGTAGTTCCAGCTACTTGGAAGGCTGAGGTGGAAGGATCACCTAAGTCCAGCAGGTGGAGGCTACGGTGGCTGTGAACGTGCCACTGCACTCCAGCCTGGGTGACAAGATTGAGACATCAACTCAAAAAAAAAGAAAGAAAGAAAATAAAGAAAATAAAATAATAACTATCTATTACCTGGTGCTGTGCTGTCTTTTTCCTGCTTTATCTCATTTAACTCTCTTAACAACCCTCTGAGGTAGGCACCATTAAAAACAACCTGATTTTTCTAAATAGAAAGTTGAACTTCAATCACACTGGGATTTAAATTCAGGTCAGTCTGATTTCAGGGCTGTGATTATACATATATAATTTTTGTTCGTTTTTTTTTTTTGAGTTGGAGTCTCACTCAGTCGCCCACTCCCGGCCACTGCAGCCTCGACCTGCTGGCTTCCGGCGATCCTTCTGCCTCAGCCTTCCAAGTACCTGGAACTACAGGCGCGTGCTACCATGCCCGGCTAATTTTTTGATTTATTGTAGAGATGAGGTCTCACCAATTTGCCCAGGCAGGTCTCGAACCCGCGGGCTCAGGCAATCCACTCACCTCAGCTTCCCAAAGGCGCGGGATTACAGGCTGAGCCACCGAGCCTGGCTCATATATAATTTTTTGGTGTAATGATGGAGTTTCACTGTGTTGCCCAGGCTGGTCTTGAACTCCTAGCCTCAAGTGATCCTCCTGCTTTGGCCTCTGAAAGTGCTGAGATTACAGATTGAGGCATCACAGCCACCAGGGCTGTGTTCTTAAATGTCAATCAGAATAGATGTAGACAAATGCCAAGAGCTCTCTAGGAAAGATACACAAACAGCTCCAATGTACAAGTTTGCTGATTTCTCACCAGAAGGAAAGTTTAACCTGCTAACACCATGTCAGTCAGAATTCTTGAAAATTTGACAGTCGGCTCTCCAGCTTACAGGGGCTGGCTGTGGCTGCCACAGACTCAACAACTACAAAGCTTTAGCACCTGCAGTGGGCTGTGGACAGGCTAGCAAATCTCAAGCCTGGAGAAGTTCCCCTTTGGCGTTTCCAAGATGAAATCTGCCATGTTTCAGATCCAAGGCTGCTCTTGACTACAGCAGCCAGCTTCAATATATAACACCTAAATTACAAAATCCTCACGTCATTCCCTCCCTCACCAGCCCCGGCAAGTGATTTATTTCTCATTTTACATAAAGATGGGGCTTTGAGAAGCCAGGTGGGACTTCCACTGAGCCTCATGTCCTCAGAATCCAAGGCCCACATTCTTACAACTGAAACTGTGCCCCCACCACTCCCGCCCAATTTTGGGGCATTTTATTTCTCTAAAGAGGAAGTCCACACCCATTAGCGATCCCTGTCCCTGGCAACCAGTGATTGACACCCAAGGATCTGCTTACTCTGGACTGGCCACACAGCCTGCAGCCTTTTGTGACTGGCTTCTTTCACTCTGCACAAAGTTTCCACGGTTTATCCCTGATGCAGCTCGTGTCTGTACTTTGTTCCTCGACACTTTTCTATGGGGTTTCGTACCTGAAGCCTAGCGTGGTCTAGTGGCCATGGTTTTTCCTCCTCAGAAATTCCAGCTCAGATAGTTTTACTTATCAACGAAGCCTGGCAAGGGGTTAATCCTGTCTCACAGAAGCAGCAGGTGAGACTGGGGTCAGGACTCTTCCTTGAGTCCCACCAGCACTGCCTCAAACCAGATCCAGGAATCCGCAAAGGCCTGGCCTCTCAGCCGATGCTATCACACCGGCTTTTCAAGACAAGGAAAGGAATCTCAAGGGACTTCATCTTGGAGACCTGTTCTCTTTCTTGAGGGGGTTCTGGGGCAGCTCCTGGGACAACCAGCAGGACGCTTGGCTCGGGGCTACTGACCAGATCCAGCTCGTTCTTAAACTCCTCCTTCTGGGGGCTCCTCTTGCCCGGGCACCTGTTCTTCAGACCTCTGTACTTCTCGCCATCCCCCGCGTCCGTGGGTTCGAGGCCTCTGGTTCCGTTGAGCTCCACGGAGTAGATTTCCAGAGTTTTCTGTAAGAAGCAGCGGTGGAGTCTTTGACAACGGGTTTTCTGCAGCCGAGCACGTCCCGGCGGGACCTGCGTGGGGGGGCTTCCCCTCCCCCTTCTGCCGGGAAGGACTGGGGGCGGGCGTCCCCTCTCCTCCCGGGAGCGAGGCCGCTGGGCGCGGGGCCGGGCAGGCTGGAGGTTTCCTCCCTGACGCCCGCCCGACGTGCCGGAGGGGCGGACGGCCCTCGGGCGGGGCAGGGGCTTCCGGAGGCTTCTCGAACCCGGCGCGGCCCCGCCTTCCCCAGAGCCCGCGCAGCCCCCTCCCCCCGGCCCCGCGCTG